TGTAAAAATGAAGGTTAGTGCACGAAATCTGGCTGCAGTTCTTCAGTAATAATCAACTGAAACAATGATTTCTATTTATATCGCACAAAAATGTGACTTGCTTTTTTAGATTAGATGTTCTTATTTCTATTCTTTGTAAAGAAGAACAACATAATATATTACAAGAGCTTTAGGGGTATTCCATTTTACATCTTCACTCTGTGACAATGGGAAGCAAAATATCATATTCATTTAAGCCATCCATTACCATGCAGAGTAAATCTAAATGGTTGACCATGAATTTGCACAGTAAACAAGGGGTATAAAACCATCCATTGAGGTCACAAAATTATCTGGTGCTTAGTGACAAAACACTCTCCTCTAGCTACAAAGAGCTGCACTGAAGAGGAGTAATTTACTCGTAGCTGGCACAACCTATATATGCAGAACCCATAAGGAGTTGAACAATGAGAGCCCTTGGAATTGAAAAAGTAGTAAATAAATACTTTTTCCCAGACCAGTACAATCTATATAAGTAATTCAGTGACAAGATAGGTCCGAATCTTCCAAAATCCAGTGAGAGGAGTGGTCAGAGTGAATGTATAGTGAGATATCTGCTCATTTCACATGACCAAAGTTATTATCAGCAAAGCATACTTTAAGCAGCTAAGCTTGAGACATTCACAGATCTTCATCTGGCATAATGAGCTGCACATCCTCTTGGATTACATTTGTGCCATCTGTAGTGAAGTTATTCCCCTGTCTAATTAGTTTATATTTTAATACATTGGGCAGTACTGTTTCAATGTATAGGTTTATTTAGTAAGCTACAGCAATTGCAGAATAGCCATTTATTTCAATTTTGGTTCTGGTCGATTCACATCATCTAAAATTTGGTTTGAAATTTTGGGTTCAAACAAACCTAAGCACTAACAGCAAAACTCAAACAAAACTAAATAATTGGCTTGAAAACTAAGGCCCGCTTTGGTCATGGTTTGATAACCTCAGAGAACATGCTCAACCTTTGGTTTTGTAATACAACCTAACACCAGGGGACTTCCACTTGTTTTTGCTGTAAGATGGCTCACATGGTTTACTATAACCCTACACCCTACACATAATAAAACAGCCTGCTTTACAGCAGCTTCAAGGGATTTGCAAATGGTAATTAAACCATTTCTGCTGCCTGCCCTGTGCTCTATCCTCGCTCTGCTGTTCTGCTCTCTGCTCTGCCCCTCCTGCCTGGCCTGCTACTCTGCTTTCCTTATATGCTGCTGTGTTCCCTGCTCCCTCTCTGTCCCCCTCCACGATCTGGTGCATGCCACTCACAGAGGCTGTGCATGCCACAGGCTGACTACTCCTGGTCTATGTAAAAACAGTACACAATATTGTAGGGTTTGGGCAAAATGGTGGATCTGGCTGGGGGCAGGGCTCCATTTCCCAGCAGCCCCTGCCCACATTGCTAAGGCTGGTTTGTATGGAGACCCCAGTCACAGTGATGCTGTGACACTGAGGGGTCAGGGTTTCCATGGAGACTGGTTCCAGCAGCACTGGCAGGGCAGGTGGCTGGGCAGGGAGCTGCTCCAGGGCCAGGGCTGGGATCTTACAGGGGTGACAGCATGGTACGGAGCTGGGGCACAGCAGCAATCTGCTGCCTGCACACCCCTGTCCAGGACGTGCAGGCAGTGGATTGCAGCTCCGCTCCAGCTTCGGACCTCACTGTCACTGCTGCACAATCCCAGCCCCAAAGCAGCTCCCTGCTTAGCTGGGTGCCCTGCCAATGCTGCTGGGGCTGGTCTCCATGGAAACCCCGCCCCTGCGCTGTCATGGTGCCATTGCTGCTGGGGTCTCCATGGAAACCAGCCACAAAGATGCAGGCAGGGGCTGCTGGGAAATGGAGTGCGCTGCAGGCTGGATTTTGCCT